GCTTCGGTACCGTCCCCCAGTGTTGCCGGATATCGTGCCGGTTATGCCAGAGGCATTCCCTACTTAGACCTACTCAAGGTGGTTCGAGGAAATCCAGGTCGGCCTAACGCACCACGTCCTCTCTGAAATGGTTCGTGAAAGTATGAATAGGCCTGCGATTGGCCTAACGTTACACGTCCTCAAGGAGATGTCTCGAAGACCATGGTTTCACGCTTAGGGACCCAATTGGCCCCATAAGTCGAGAATTAAGATTACTTTGAACGAAAAAAGATGAGGCTTGGCGTGACCTGAAGGCAGTCGGTTGGATAGGCCTAGGCCTAACGTTAATGAGTCCCGTAGAGAAGGGGGCGTGGGGGGAGAGTTAAAAATTGGTTTTCACATTGCTTCAAATAAACATACTACTTGGACACTGTAAAATTTACGAAAGTTTCTCGTATGTGATATCAATTTTCCATCGATAGATCGATATTGTGGTCAAGTGGAAACGAAATGGGCGCAAGAGTAGGAAATGAACTCAACAAGTGGCAGTTCCAGAAGGACTTCATTGCAATAATAATAAAATCACAAAAGGGATTCGTTTCACTGCCACCTCCCAGAGAAGAGACGACACGAAGGGATGCACGAATACAGGACATTCGGAGATTCGAGCTTCAGGTCGGGAGGGCATGCAGACACTCTCGGCAGCTAGGAAGGATGTCTCAAGGCGCCGGGCACCATTGCGCATCCTGGGTGTTGCTCTTGATGAAGTTGTCCACGTAATCTGCAATGGAAAAGGATTCGGCAGAATGAGCCACTGCCAAGAACAAATGGGAATTGATTTGCCCTTTGCTGACACTCACTGGCTGTCTTGGTGGCAACGATTCCCGAGTTCGGGAGACACTCTCCATTCTTGTACGAGTTGATGCCGACTTCCTGGTAGTATCCGGATGGAGTCTGGTACAACACCGGTCCTCCGAAGTCACCCTGAAGGAAAAATGCGTATTGGTACCTCGGGAATTACATTAAATTCTCACATCTTCCTTTTTGCTTACACTGCATGAGTTCTTGTCAACAGGCTGA